TTCCATTCGCTCCTCTCCTCCTCACTAATCTTCTGCAGTTGCCAAACTAGCCGCTCGCGCGTCGACGCCCGAGCCCGCCTTGCTGCCGCTCGCGCCATGGCGCGCCGTGGCCCATTTCATCTTCGGTGCCAATTCATTTGCGTACCAACATGTTATCGAACGGCTGCGACCACTTCTGGGGCCGCGCGGCCCGCTGCGCGGAACCGCCCATTCGCTGTGCCAATGGTAAAAATCATCATCAAGTACATGTTTATTAATGGCGATCTTGAAAATATCCCCCGCGACCATGTCCCCGCCGCGTTCGGCGCGGATAAGGGGCCGCCGACATATCAGACGCATCATCTCTCGGCCAGCGAGCAAGAAGATTCGCTGTCTGCCCCGCGCGCGAGACGCCTGGGCGGCGAGGTGGATCCGACGAGGAGGCAGGTCCTCACGCGGTCTCATCTTGACAGATTTCTCCGCGATGTCAGAGAACATCGGCATGTCGATTCGCTCGCACATACCTGACTTCTGCGATACTTTTGCGAATACCTAAATTCTAAAAATCGAGCGCCCGCGTGGCCTACGGCGCAGTGCCAGATGCATCGGGCGAGGCCGATGATGTCACCCTCGTCGCGCGAAATTTCGAATCTCGCAAAGCGGTCGCGCCAGGAATCGGCGTTAATTTGATCCCCGACGAGTGCCACATCTGTTCCCGATATTCCAATGAGTCTGTTGAGGGGCCCGCGACCATCTCCATCGCCGCCCCCCCTCCACCGCGGCTGTTCCCGCCGGGGGGCCCTCGCCCTCCGCCGCCCCCGCCCGTCTGGCTGGGCCGCCGACGGGATTTGATGGGTCAGGCAATTCTTCCGGCGTGGTAGGCAAGTGGCATGGGGGGTTCTTCTGGCGGTTTGATAAATGCTGGGAATGTCGGGACCTCGCGAAATGATTGCCCCGCGTGTCCTGATGGCGCTCCGACTCCGCGGCGTCGGGCAATTTCGCTGCGTTCGCACTTGATTCAACTCGCTTGGCCGTGTCCATCTCGTCGCGTTCCTTACGTCAGTTCGTCAAATTTTCTTTTTGCTGTTTGACGATGTTGCCCATGCGCATCTGCTCTTCCCACTGTTGTGAAACCCAGCGTTATTATTATTAGCGTCTTCTCTCTGCGCTCGCCCCGGCCTCCAATTTGCTTCGGGCGCAGCGTTTGCAACGTCTCGCCGTCGAGCCCACGATACTGTCGCAATATAGCGTGGGACATTGGACGCATTGCGATGACTTGGGCTCGCTGCAGAATTTGCATGTTTCGCAGTTCCCGCCTCCACTGCGACGCGCAGTTGCGGTCTGCCCTTGGGGGCGCTGTTTGAAGAATTTCCCGGCGCCAGAATCAGAGCGTCGGTCACCGTTCCGCTCGTCCTAACATCCCCTGGAGAAGACGCACCCTCCTGCGTCGTCATGGCCAACGAGGCTATCCGGAGGTCGCTTCGTACTACATGCCGAGTCTGAGGCGCTGCTGGCATCCCCCCCTCGCCGAGCGTAACCGCGCTACAGGACTCGTGGTGAGCAAGTCCATCGTCGCGTGCTTCCCTTTGTTGTGCAAGGTCCTCAGCGACCAGTTGCCCGGTCTGTATCTGTTCTGCTGGATTGAAACCACTCTGCCCACGAGCGCTCGCGCGTTGCACCATCGATCCGGCATCTTCCTTGGCGCGCTGGATCATGGCAAGGGCCTGTATCTCTTGCTCTTGCATTGCACATTGTGCCGACCTGCCGACTTCAGCATTCTGAAATATGCGCTGCATGTGGGTACCTGTCGTAGATGGTTGATCACGCCTCCGGCTTCTGGTTTCCTGGAGCTCCAACTCTGTCAGGTATTCCAACTCCTTTTGTGTTGATCAGCCTCCGCCAAAACCTTCGAATTGCTTCTGAAACAGCAAGTTGGTTCGGTTGCGCCCGTCGAGCGACATGCTGAAACAAAAACCCTCTTCAGTATACATTCAACGAATAGGTTTGTCCTTCTCAGCCTTGAAAATGCGCACTTGTGCTGCCGACTCTCCACGCAATCTCTTTTTCCTGGCTGACAATGTATCCGCTCCTTCCCGCTGCCAAACCAAAAGTGCGAGGTGGCGGCCGCCATGTTCTTCCATGACTAAACATTCGGAGCAACGCCAACTGAGGTTGCAACGTTGGCAACTGCGTGGACATCCTGCGCACGCTGGCCGCTCACGCGGTTATTTTCAACTATGTGCTTTTCCCTGGGCATCTGCTTTCGGCCGCGAAATAGCACCCCAGCCCTCTGGCCCAACGGCTGGTCTCGACTGAGGTGCCTGCGGGCGAGGCTCTGCCAGATCCTAGGCTGATTCCTGATCGGCAACGCAACCTGGATGCCAAAAGCGACCTTGAGCGGGAGATCCCCCCACCACTGCCCGGGGATATGTTCGGAGTCGGAAGTTGTCTAGAACCGCGACTCTCAATGGAATGTCGTTGTTCATCGATCATATGCTCTGCGATTCTAGGGACCTGAATCGGGGAATCCTTGTCCATGCTGACATCTCCGCGTGCCTTGTAACGCTTCGCCCCAGGCGTTTCCCCCTTGTTACCCTTTTTCGTGACCTGCTTGTGATACGATGGGGGCCACCTTGCTTTGAATGGATGGAATGTCAGACTGGGAACCTCCACCATCGAGAATAGCAAACCGTTCGCGTGCCACGCCGTCTCCTTGTTTCTGCCGGCTGAACCAATGCCGATTCACCGTCCACCGTCGGAGTACATGGATCGTCGACGAACGAGAAAAGTTGGTACTCCAGGAGGGATGTTAATCGGCTCATCCGCGAGAGGCACTGTAGTACGAGCGTGGGTATATCCTGCATGAACAATTGCGCTGCTACTATCGGCTGCGATCGTCAACGCAAACTTCGCGTTGATAGCCAAGTCGTTCGCCAGAGAATCGTGACTGCTGGCGGAAATAGGGCAAAATGGCAATGGTGCGTCATGGGTCTCAATGCGCATGATGGATCCGTTAAGCTATATTTCGGATCTACAGGAAGAGGGTGGACAAAAAGGGGAGGGCGGAAACGACACGACCTCCTCGCTCTTATGTTTCCCACGCGCGCGAAAGGTGCGCAATTCTCGGCTCGTTCCTCGAGCCAATCCTTCACAGCTGCGGGCGGCGCCTGTGGCGGCGACAAGCACAAGGAACGAGCAGGGACAGCATCAACAACTCTCTAGCCTTCCTGTTCGCCCGCCTTCTCTTCCTCCTCCTCATGCGCCTAATCCTCCCCCTCCCTCCTCCCTTCTCCCTTCCCCCTCCTCCCTGCGTGATTGGGCTATTCGACAGATAGTGTTCTGCACAAGCACAGCATACTGTAGGACAAGATATTCGCAGATCTCCTCACCGCCCTGAGTTCAAGGCCCCAGGGTGAGAGAACTACCGAACTGGTGACAATTAGCTCTGTCACAGGCAGGAGCCTCCTCTTGAGCTTCGTGCTCTCAGACGAAACCTTACCGTCGGAAAGCACTCGGATCTTGGGGCCCGCCTTGCAAGTGGTGAACACACCATGCGCAATGCAATGCAAGACAGGGAGCCCTGAGCTCTCGACCCAAGCATCGTGCAAGTGGTTGTGGATCCCGCAAAAAGAAAACAGTCGAGCCACCGAGTCACGCCATCACAATCAGGACTGATCACCGCTTTGGGCCCCAGGTGGCGAAAACAAATGTTACACCCATGTTTTCCCTCGTGCCCGGCAGCTGCGTGCAGGCCACTGTGCTTGGGGCGGCACCTTTTGGGACCAATACCCAAGCGACCCAGCTCCGAGCCAATCCCCAAGTTGTTTCCCTACTCCGTGCCGCGAAGTAGAAACATGTACATCATGGTAGTGAAGTGAATCTATAATTGGTGTCATTACTATAGCCATGAGCCTGGGCACCTAATCCGACGTGATGGTCGGCTAGACGATTACCCCTGCAGAGAATATTGAGCTTTTCGATGGGTCGATATTCTGCACGATGGTGTCCGTTTACTTTGACGAAACTGGGGGGCCTCCTGGGTAACCTGGCCACCCCTCTCCAAACGTAAGCCTGGGCATTGGCCCCCGACAACGCCCACGGAAAAGCAGCAGCCGCTTTCAACAGGGTGGCATAATCCACAAAGAGTCTTCCTGAAGCACAGTTGACTTGACTATAAACGCAAGTCAGCAGAATCGCTCCATGTTCAGCGGTCCCATTGCTCTGTACCATGGCTCCTGGCAGAGGGTTTCGAAGCCCACGAATCTGCTCAATTCTCTCGCCTACCTGGACCACGGTAACTCTCGCACGGGAGAGGTGGATCCTCCTTCCTCCCCCCCTTCTCTTCCTCCTCCTCCTCCTCCTCTTCTCCTCCTCCCCCTACCATTCCTCCTCCTCCTCCTCTCCTCCTCCTCCTCCTCCTCCCTCCTTCTCCCTCCTCCTCCTCCTCCACCTCCTCCTCCTCCTCCTCCTCAATCATACGTACTTCTCTTGGGGCATGACGGTTTCCCAGCCTTTCTTCCACTGCGTGCTCCCCCACATGCCTGATCAGGGCAACAAGCCTGGGTATCGTTCCTGGAGGGGCTGGCGGGGTTACGCAAAGCGTCTAGAGTATCTCTGAGCGCTGCAGGGCAAGCGAGGTGACGATTCGACCAATTCCGGTCGTTCGTGCTTCCCGCCATGCTTCAGCCTTGCAAAAGAAGTGAAGGCGAAATATTCGTCTGAGGAATCGAATGCCTGGGCGCCTCTCTTGCCTGCACACCGAGAATCCTGAGTCGGGGGTGATCCCGATCCCCACTACATTTACCATGTGCTCTCCTGCGTTTTTGCTTGCCTGCCATCCCTGCCTTGCTCCAAGTACCATGTTATTGTAGACTGGCTTCTGATCGCTCAGCACCCTTACACCGTGTGTTCACCGTAACTCCCGAACCAGACCTGAGGAAGTGAAACCCAGACGAACAGCCGCTGATACCGCTGCTGCTGCTGCAGCCACCTGCCTGGAAAACCCCCGCGAGCAGAGGCACTGTCGGCCATGAAGAAAGTGCCCTGGCCGCTCTTGAAGCCGTTGATGTACTGGCCCTGAACACACTCTGGCGGCGCGCGCAGGTGGAAAGCAAAGGGGGCGGGCCTTCTCAGAAGGCTCCGACGGCATCCGGCATTATGAGAGGCGCTCCAAGCCTTCCCCGAAGCCACAGGGGATTATCAGAAGGCTGGAGGGCTTTTGGGAAGCCGCGCCGCCTTGTAAGAAGCCCCCTCTCACTTCCTTCTGGGGGCGCCGCCGAACACTACCAAAGACCGACGAGCAACGCTACGCTTTGCAGACGGGTCGGTAAGTAATTCCGCCACCGTGCCTGCACGATTTTGGCACGTTAGAATGCCCAAGTGCTGCTCTATAAGGTTTCTGGAATGCCACCTGCACCCCCCTCCACGCCGAAGCCAAGATGCCTCTTAAAAACTATGGAATCGCGCTGCCGAGGCCACGATCACTCGTTAACAAACGATAGATCCGCGTCCCAAGCTTCTAAAGCGGCCTATGCAGTCAACCAAGGACACCACAATGACCCACGATGCCTCGAATTCGGGCCGAGGTAGTCCAAACGCGGCTGGATATGGCCTCAAGGTGGCCCAAGATGTCTCCAATAGGGCCCACAAAGACCACACGAGGATCTCCAACAGGGTCCGAAGAAGCCAAGAACATTGAGTTTGCACAAGTTTCTGAATGGTTTTCGCATGTTTGCCTTTTTCGGGCCCACGCCAACTCCAGACGGTCCAAGAAGTATCCACGATGGCACCACGACTCCCCAAGAGGCCCCCACGAGGATCCAAAGATGGCCCAAGAGGACACAACGAGAACCAAAGAGGCACTCAAGACGGCCCCAAAATGACCCAAGAGGACCTCCCGTGGGACCCGAGACGCCTTAGAAGGCCCTTCGACAGCCCAAAGTCGCGCCAAGACAGCCACACGACGGCCCCCAGGCACCAAACAATACGGCTAAGAGTGCCCCAAGGCGGCCCAAGAGAGCCCCAAGACGGCCTAAGAGGGCCCCAAGACTGCCCAAAAGGGCCCAGCGGGACCCCCAAGACTGCCGTCACAGACTGCCCAAACGAGTTCCATGAGAGTTCCTCAGATAGCAAAGACGGAAGGTGTCACACGCGACGGCCGTCCTATTCCTCCTCCTCCTCCTCCTCAGCATCAGCATCATCAGCATCAGCATCATCGGCATCAGCATCAGCATCAGCATCAGCATCAGCATCAGCATCAGCATCATCATCATCATCATCATCAGCATCATCATCATCGTCATCCTCGTCATCCTCATCCTCATCTGCATCATCATCTGCATCATCCTCATCACCATCATCATCATCATCATCACCATCACCATCGTCATAATCAACAGCACATCCTCATCCTCATCCTCATCCTCATCCTCATCCTCATCACTATCCAACTCCTCGTCATCCTTACCATCATCATCATTATCAACAGCAGCCACATCAGCAACATCATCATCGTCATCAGCATCAGCATCAGTCTCAGCATCATCATCCTCATCATCATCGTCAACATCCTCAGCATCATCATCAGGCTCATCACCGTCACCATCATCAGCAGCATAACCATCCGCACCAGCATCACCATCACCAGCATCATCATCAAAACCATCACCACGATCGCCATCATCGCCACCAACATCATCATCACCACCATCATCAGCATCATCACCATCAGCAGCAGAATCACCACCATCATCAGCAGCATCATCGTAATCATCATCATCATCATCTCCATCATCACCAGCATCGTCATAATCATACTCGTAATCATGATCTCCAGTATCATCGTCTCCATCATCAGCATCATGATATGCATCGTCATCGTTATCGTCATCGTCGTCGTCATCATCACCACCACTATCGCCATCATCATGATCACCATCATCGCATCATCATCACCATCACCATCACCATCACAATCATCACCATCATCAGCATCATTATCACCATCATCACCCTGGGCAGCATCGTAACAATCGTCGTTATCGCCTACATCATCATGATCGTCATCGTCGTCATCATCACCAGCATCGTAATACTCATCACCACCATCATCACCAAACGCCATCGCTATCGGCATCGTCATCATCATATGATCTCAACAATCATCATCGCCACCATCATCACAACCACAATCCTCCTCCTCCTCCTCCTCATCATCATCAACATCATCATCACCACCATCATCATCATCATCATCATCATCAACATCATCATAAGCATCGTCATCATCGTCATCCTCATCACGGCTCGCATAAGCCTGGAGACACACGAGACATCACACGTGACGGCCTCCTGTGCCCCCTCGAACAGTCGCAACCCAGAATGCCTGAAAGCACGGTGGCGGGACTTGCCGCAGGCAGCTGGATTTGCTGCTCAACTCGAACTGTCGAGAAAGACAAATGTCTTCAGCTTTCACGGTGGGCTAAATCTGAGAGGTCGAAACTGGTTCCCCGCCATCGGCCATCGCCCTCTCCTCAAATCCGCCGACCCCTTGGGGTCATCGGCGTGTGAGATGCTTCCCCCCTCCCCAAACCCCTCCCCCCGGAGCCTGGTCCGGTCGTTTTGGAGGGGGGGGGGGGGGGGTCCGGCCGGATTCCCCGGGATCCGCCGGCGCGGTCCGGGGGGGGTCATCCGCTCCAGAGAGTCTGCTGGGGGGGCCGCAAACGAGCGAAGAGGCTCCCAAGAAGCTCTGCAGACGGTCCAAGAGGGCCCCGAGTCGCCGAAAAAACACTCGAAGACGGTCAAGATGGCCTCCAGATGGCCCCAGATGCCTCCAAGACGCCCCAAGAAGCTTCCAAGACGCCTCCCAAGATGGCCCCAAGAGGCCAAAATCGTCGATTTCCATTGGTTTTTTCAACGTTTTTGGCCTTCGCGTTTTTTCGGGCTTCCGACGCTCCAAGACGGCGAAAGAAGCCCCCAAGACGGCATCAAGACGACCCGAGAGGCTCCCAAGTGGGCCCCAACACGGCCCAAGAGCGCCTCAAAACGGCTCAAGAGGGCCTTCAGACAGTCCAAGAGGGCCCACAGAGGGGCCCAAGAAAGGCTCCAGACGGGGACCACGAACCTAAAATTCTAGCCTTCCGCCCCAAAAGGCGCCAAGGAGGCCCCAAGAGGCCTCCAAGAGGCTCCAAGAAGCCCCCAAGAGGCCCCCAACAAGCCCAAAAAAAGCCCCAAGCTGCCCCAAAACAGCTCCCCAGAAGCCTCCAAACTGCCTCCCGCAGGCCCCCGAGAGGATTCTCACGACGACGGCGCCAGAGGCTCCCACAACGGTCAACGAAGCCCCCAAGATGGCCCCAAAAAGGTGCCCAGCCTACGCCGTCGAGTCTGTCGCCGCCATTGTCGTCCTCGTCGTGTTCTCCTGCTCCTTCTCATCCTCCTCTTCCGCCCCCTCCTCCCGTCTCCCCTCTCAGCTTTCTGTCTCGTATTCCCTCCACTGGCTCACTTTTCACCTTCTCCGCCTTTGGCTGCTCCCCCATCCTCCCTCCTCCACGTCCCCCTTATCCATCCCGTCCCCAGCGGTCAGATTCCTCGCAACTTCCGTGCCTTGTCGCAATGCTCGTCACTTGGTTCCGCCGGGCGTTTCGGAGGGTCTCTCCGCGGCGCTCGTCCCGCTTCTACTACCCCCAGATTGGCATAAACAAGGGGTCGGCGGTGTGGCGTAAGCCTAAGAATCTAACACTGACGAAAACGCAACCAAATTAATCAACGACGGGCTTTCAAATGCTGCCAGGGAAGCACCAAGAGAACCGTATGTAGATCATCGCAACCTTACCGTGACCGAAAGATGGACGAGAACCTCGGATCAGTGCAAAATCTGCAAGGAAGACCAGCGATGTGCTTGATCCACTCTCCGCTCATGCAGCCCGTCCCTCTCACCCCCCCATCTTTGATTGTCACCTGCTGCGGTCAAGGATTGTATATCCTTGATCCCGATCTGAGGGAAAAAACAACAAATGAGGGGGGATCCACGTTGACGACTACTAGGTCCCGGTCCGCAAGCATGCTTGCAAGCCATGCGCGAGTCCATTCGGCGCCGCCCCGCAGGACGGAGCACTTCTCGACAGTGGAAGAATGACACTGCGTAGCGATCGTGGGAGGGCGAAAAAAGAGAGGGTCACAGTGGCGGGATGGACAACAAGGCCACGGGATCCGCCGCCCCCGTTGCCTGCCACAGGAATGCCACATGTTACAATCATTATTGCCCTTGCAAAATGTTCCTGGTGGTCTTCGGCTTGACCCGCCAGCCACCCAAAAGGCCGCGCCATGACCACAAAACAAAGCCTCTTCAGGCACGGTGAACCTGCCTCCAAAACGGCCACGATGGCGCAACTTGGCTCCCAAGACGGCCTCAAAAACGGCCAACACGGTTCCAAATGGCCTCCAAGATGGCCCAAGAGATGGCAACGGCCGTTTGGTAGGACCCTGACGGGCGGACCACCCCTAACGGTTGGGTCGGGCGAGCGGACTCTCACGGGCGTGCCGGGCGGGAGGGGCGTCAAAGCAGGCGGGCGGGTTTCCAAGCACGCGATCGGCTGGCGGCCAGACACTGACGGGCAGGTCGGACGTGCGGACCCCAATGGGCGGGTCGGGCGGCTCCCTCACGGGCAGGTCGGGCGGGCGGACCCCAACGAGCGGGTCGGGCGGGACATTGATGCGGGCGGGCGGGCTTGACAAGCAGGCGAACGGGCGGACCTTAACGGGCGGGTCGGGCGGGTGGACCTCACTGGGCGGGTCGGGCGGGCGGACCCTTACTGGAGGGTCGGGCGGACGGGGCGTTTGAAGACAGCCCGGAGATACCCCTGCACTGGTACAAGGCAGTCGCAACATCCTTCGGCGGCCAGGACAAGCTGAAGAACCACGCAGAGATCTGAACAATGGGGCAAAAAAGGGCGGAAGAAAGGAGGGGGAGTAACGCGTCGGCGTCGCAGAGTTGAGGCCCTTCTGCCACTACACCCACCCGACCAGTGGTGCCTCGTATCGTGTTCCGTTGGGCGCATTCTCGAAGCCCGCTCCATGGCGCTTCCCATTGAAGAACTGCCCTGGCGGCGCGGAGGGGGTGGCAAGACACGATGGCCCACGCCCAGAAAATTCGCCGGCCCAACGGGCCAGAGGCGTACTAAGATCTCCAGTAGCTGCTTTACAATGATTATACTTAACGCGCGCGGGGCGGCCCCTGGGGGTCCCCAGAAGAAAAGTACCCTGGGCGAAGCCCCCGCGCTGCGGGTCAGAGATGGTTTACCTCCAGGGCGCCGCCCTCGAGGCCGTCCAGAAAGCCCTAAGGAAGGCCAAGAGGCCGCCAAGAGCCCCTCAAGATCATACAAGAGAGCTCCGAGCCCCAAGACGGCCCAACAGGCCCCCAAGACGGCCCAACAAGGCTCCAAAACGGCCCAAGAAACGGCCAAGACAGCCCAAGAAGGCCCCAAGAGAGGTCCCAGGGGGGGAACACGAATTAACATATCGAGCTCTCGCCCCTAAGAAGGCACCAGGAGTCCCCAAGAGGCCCATAAGAGACCCCAAGACGCCCCCAACAGCCCCCCAAGAGGCCCCCAAGCGGCATCAGGAGGGTCCCCAGAGGCAAAACGCATTGTTTCTCCCTAGGTGTTGGAAAGATTTGGGCGTTTCCACCTTTTCGGCTTCCCGAACCCCCAAGACGGCCCGCTCATCTCGAAGGGCCAAACAAACATCTTGAAGTCAACGTATACAATCAATAACAAGTTCATTCCTGGGCGGCAACAACAACTGCGCCAAGGGCCAGACGTGGCAAAACCCGTCAACATGACACGTTGCTCGCAATGCCGCCCCCAGAACCCCCCAAACCAGGGTGACAATCAAATGGGAGTATCGACGGGCAGACTGGCTTCGCCATTTGCAACCGAGAAAGTGGCCACTCTTCTTTCGGCATATCCAAATACGAGCCCCACCCAACTTGGACTGTGTGCATGCCTTCTGGTGTCGGCCTGTTGCATTCATGGAACTCGCACTTTTGCAAGAGGGTCATCGTTCGAGTCGTAAGAGAGGACTGCGCGTACAATGCAAGCACTTCGTTTTCCCGTTAATGATACTGTCTGGAAAAATGTGTCCGTGAACCATCCAACGACAAGTTACTCGTCCTCGACGTACTCCATTGGGCCCAAATGATGAGCGGCGCGGGCGAATATTTGCCCCGGTCTCGGGCCCCCCCAGAACCGCGACGTTGATGTGAGCATATCGATTGTCTCTCCAGTTTGCGTCGACAGAGCGAAGACGAATCTCCCCCCCGTTGCAGCTGGACACCCCGTTGACAATCGGATCCGTCTACCGCCGAAAACCCGTCGATCGGTCGCGGGCCCCTGGGCCCGAGTCATCGGACGGGTCGCCAGGGTCGGAATCGACTGCGGCCTCGCCTCTCTCACCTGTCGCAGAAGGGGGCGGAGGCGGAGCGGGATGTCCAAATAAGGTGCAATCGTCGGTCGGCGCGCGCGCAGCTGAGCTGTCCGCGGCCGGCCGAGCTCAACCGAAAGCGCTGTCAGCTGCGTCTCTGGGCGGCACTGTCGCCGACGCAATTTGGGTGATGGCCTTCTCGCGCGCGTCTTTCACGGGGAACTCAGGCTCTCGGGCATCCACAAACGGATCACTAATCTAACTGTAAACCTACCCAGATTTCTCAATGACCGGCCGAGCGCCGCCAGGCCTGCGCCCAGCTGCCATGGTCAGACCTTCGAACAATCCCGGAGGAGCAGCATGACCAGCGGCCGCTCTAAGGCACGCAGAGTGGCCGCACGAAAGCGCATCAGTTCCCGCGCGTTCAACGACCTTCCAGCAGGCCAGACAAGTGACGCCGCAGAGAAAGCAGGTGAAGTGACGAGGTGTGGGAAGCGAAGAACCGTTTTGAATGGCTTTCTATACGATTCGACTGAACTTTGAAGAATTTCATGTAAGATCAGCCTAGCGGAAGCTAGGCTCGCGTAGGCGGAGCTCAGAAACGCTGGCCCACAGAAAGTCCATCCGACACTACTACAAGTAATACCTCATATGGCCCAATACCACCACCGGAAATATGCTCGAGTAGGCTGATTCAGAAAATTTGATCCTCTATGCCCCCCCCCGAAGTCTCATGGCCCTGCATAGCCACGGGCTGCGCAACGTCTTGCTCTCCGGGCACTCTTCCGCACTCTACCGCCGCGGCGAGATCGACCTGCGCCCTATTGACTGGAAAACCAATGCAAAACGGGTTGAGCCTGGACACTGAATCAATGGCGGTTTCGCTCTGGATGCCCAATGCCAAACGACTTGCTTTGAAAAACTACTGTAAAACGGGTTGAGCCCAGATCCCTTTCCTGCAGTGCTGCATGCCGTTCAAACCGCGCCGTATCCAGATCCGCACGCAACGTTTCAAGAGCCTGTTCTGAGGCCGGCGGCATGAAGAGCACGTTTCATATGTCCTGGTCGACTTCCATTTTATGCCGCCTACCGACGTGCTCGATGTTTGTTCCCAACCCTCCTATGGTTGGGTACTCGTTTAGAATAGAGCAGTGTGGTCGCAGGTCGCCCCGTCCCCCTCATCCTCCCCTCTCCTCCCCTTCTCCTTCTGTCAAGTTTCCTGTGTTCCTTTCTCCTCTTCTCTCGTGCCGTCTGTGATCTGCGCAACTGTCGCCACTTTCGTGGGCTCCTGGGAGGCCCCGCGGGGGTGCGTCCCACGCGGACCACCTCGGGACCTCGCCGCCCCCTGGGGGGCTTGCGACCTGCGCAACCGTCGCCACTTTCGCGGGCTCCTGGGAGGCCCGGCGGAGGCACGTCCCACGCGGACCACCTCGGGACCTCGCCGCCCCCCAGGGGGCTTGCGATCTGCGCAACTGTCGCCACTTCGCGGGCTCCTGGGAGGCCCAGCGGAGGCACGTCCCACGCGGACCACCTCGGGACCTCGCCGCCCTCTGGGGGGCTTGCGATCTGCGCAACTGTCGCCACTTTCGTGGGCTCCTGGGAGGCCCGGCGGAGGTGCGTCCCACGCGGACCACCTCGGGACCTCGCCGCCCCCTGGGGGGCTTGCGATCTGCGCAACTGTCGCCACTTTCGTGGGTTCCTGGGAGGCACAGCGGAGGTACGTCCCACGCGGACCACCTCGGGACCTCGCCGCCCCCTGGGGGGCTTGCGACCTGCGCAACCGTCGCCACTTCCGTGGGCTCCTGGGAGGCCCAGCCCAAACACGTCCCATGCGGACCACCTCGTGACCTCGCCGACCCCTGGCGGGCTTGCGATCTGCGCAACCGTTGCCACTTTCGTGGGCTCCTGGGAGGCCCGGCGGAGGTGCGTCCCACGCGGACAACCTCGGGACCTCGCCGCCCCCTGGGGGGCCTGCGATCTGCGCAACTTTCGCCACTTTCGTTGGCTCCTGGGAGGCCCAGCCAAGGCGCGTCCCACGCGGACCACCTCGGGACCTCGCCGCCCCCTGGGGGGCTTGCGATCTGCGCAACTTTCGCCACTTTCGTGGGCTCCTGGGAGGCCCAGCCAAGGCGCGTCCCACGCGGACCACCTCGGGACCTCGCCGCCCCCTGGGGGGCTTGCGATCTGCGCAACTTTCGCCACTTTCGTGGGCTCCTGGGAGGCCCAGCGGAGGCACGTCCCACGCGGACCACCTCGGGACCTCGCCGCCCCCTGGGGGGCTTGCGATCTGCGCAACTGTCGCCACTTTCGTGGGCTCCCGGGAGGCCCAGCGGAGGTGGGTCCCACGTGGACCATCTCGGGACCTGGCCGCCCTCTGGGGGGCCTGCGATCTGCGCAACTTTCGCCACTTTCGTGGGCTCCTGGGAGGTCCAGCAGAGGTGCGTCCCACGCGGTCTACCTCCAGACCTCGCCGCCCCCCAGGGGGCTTGCGATCCGCGCAACTGTCGCCACTTTCGTGGGCTCCTGGGAGGCCCAGCGGAGGTACGTCCCACGCGGATCACCCCGGGACCTCGCGGTGCCCTGGGGGCTGTGATCTGCGCAACTGTCGCCACTTCCGTGGGCTCTTGGGAGGCCCAGCGGAGGTACGTCCCACGCGGATCATTTCGGGACCTCGCCGCCCCCTGGGGGGCTTGCGATCTGCGCACTGTCGCCACTTTCGTGGGCTCCTGGGAGGCCCAGTGGAGGTGCGTCCAGCGCGGACCACCTCGACACCTCGCCGCCACCTGGCGGGCTTGCGATCTGCGCAACTGTCGCCACTTTCGTGGGCTCCTGGGAAGCCGAGCGGAGGTGGGTCCCACGCGGACCACCTCGGGACCTCGCCGCCCCCTGGGGGTTTTGCGATCTGCGCAACTTTCGCCACTTTCGTGGGCTCCTGGGAGGCCCAGCGGAGGCACGTCCAGCGCGGACCAACTCGAGACCTCGCCGCCCCCTGGGGGTTTTACGATCTGCGCAACTGTCGCCACTTCCGTGGGCTCCTGGGAGGCCCAGCGGAGGTACGTCCCACGTGGATCATTCGGAGGTACGTCATACGCGTTTCTTTCAACACCCCTGTGTTTCCATGTTGTATAGTTGCCGTTCCTCTGCTTGCTGCGCTCTTCTGAAATCAGTGTTGGGTGCTCTTCTTGCGCACTGCGGGTCCTTCAGACTGCCAGTCAACATTGGATGGTCCTGAGTAGAATCGCCACATGTATAGAGAGGGTTGGGTACGTCACAGGGTAATTTTGAACTTCCAAGCGTTCACGGTCATGCCCTTCATCTGGACTCGAAGTTTAGTGTGTTTGGTCTTCGTCTGTGGCGTGACGTTCTGGTTCTGCGCGCGTTGCAAGAAGAGGTGCCGCGAGTCTACTCAAGGCCATCTTCGGATGTGCTGCTTGACGCCCTCGTCTGCTTGTTCCAGCCAGGTCGTCACTCTTAGCTTGCCAATTCGTCAGTGAATCTGCCGTATACGCCAGCGGTTCGTGGATGTCCCTGGTGCGCGTATATGTGGTCCGTATGCAAATTGCGGTCTTGGCAAAGTCATGTAGATATTGTTCTAATACTGTCAAGCTTCTCTGAGAACTGTATCTGTAGCTCCCCTCCGCTAGTCCACTGGCCACATTCGAATCGGTGTGGGCAAAGATGTTGGGTCGTTGGTTGTTGTCGGTCGTGCTATCATAGATCCATGCGTACGCCCATGTGGGTTCTGCCAGACCCGATGTGGTAGGTCTAAACGGTCCGTAGTCGGCGTTGCTGGTGGCGTCGTCCGTCTTCGCGGCCAAGACGCCGTGGTATGCAAATTCCTCCTTGCCCTCTGCGAAAATTGCGACTGCCCAGGCGTCCTTGGCCGAGTTTTTCTGGTGCGCGCCGTCTGTGCGGAGATGCCATCGCTTGATGTCGTGCGGCATGTGATTAGAGCCATTTTCGCACTTGGATCGGAACCTTCTGGCCATTCTATTTCGTTGGAGCGGGCGGGGAGGGAGGGCAAGGATGCGCGTACGAGGCAAGTCCGACCATGTATACAAGGCGTCAGGCACAACAGCTGCTGGCAGAGCGGAAAACACACTGACTGGACACAGCAGCACTAGACCGAGCATCACACTGGCTTGAAAGCGCGGACAAGGATGGTCCCAGCCCAACGGAAACCCAAAAGGAGGACCGGCGCTCCGTGCGAGGACGCAACAACCAACCTACAGTCAAGAAGCCATTCGCACCCAGCGAACCCCTCGCCTCTTCCCCCTCCTCCCCCCCTCCTCATCCTCGTCCTCCTCCTCCTCCTCTTCCTCCTCCTCCCCCCACTCCTCCTCCTGCTCCTCCTCCTGCTCCTCCTCCTGCTCCTCCTCCTGCTCCTCCTCCTTGGGCCTTGGGCAAGGCCTCGTCATTTCCAAACGCCTCCACTGCGCAACTCCAAGTCACCTTGCCCCAGCCTCTCGGCCATCGATGCCATCCGTGCCTCCTCCAAGCCCGCGCGGGGGCACGACGCTCCGTCGTACGTGACGCCGCTAGGCATCTCGAGAACTCCCGTGCCGTGATACACGTTGGCCTCCCACTGGCCCTGGGCGCACGGAAGGCTTCGCCCCCGGGGAGAGGCGGAGGAGGAGGAGGAAAAGGATTAGGATGAGGAGGAGAGAGGAGGAGAGAGGAGGAGAGAGGAGGAGAAAGACGAGGAGGAGAAGGAGCAGGAGGAAAACGAGGAGGAGGAAGAGGAGGATGAGGAAGGAGAGGGAGGAGAATACTCGGGATCGGGATCGGGCCCGTGGGAATTCCACCAGCTCTCTGGGCGCAGGTGGTCTAGGGAGGCTCCTCTTCCAATCCCCATTCTTCCCCTTCACGGATGGGTTGATCACTGTTCCCTATTAATATACACCCCCTCCTCCACCCAGCCGGCAGCCATACTGGGACAATGAAGATCCCATAGGGGCATCCACCATCCCTTCACAAAACAATACAAAACGCCCCGCACATTTGGAGCATTCGCGGCCGCCCCGCAACCATTTTATAGTGGTATGTTACAGGGGCGGCTGGGGTATCAGCTGATCCCACGTGCCGTCTGGGCGCAGGTGGTCGACCGACTGGTTTGACACATCAGTGGCTGCTGCCTTTTCGCCTCATCGTTTCCGATGGGCTTTCGAAACCTCGAAGTGGCTCCGAACGATGCGAAGAACGATCAAAGCCTGGCCAAAAAGGCTTCCAAACTGGCCCGAAGAACGCCCCACTTTGGCGCCACGAGGGTGCCAAGAGGCGGTGTTGAGGGCCCTGGAGGGGAGGCTTCCAAGTGGATGGCCCAAGAGAGCTCCAAGATGGGCCCACGAGGCCTCCAAGACGGCCCCTAATTCGCCTCAAGGTGGCCAAAAGAGAGTCTCAAGAGGCTGTTTTGAGGGCCCCTGACGGGGGGCTAGCCCCAAATAGGGGGGCTGAACGCCCCCCCCCTGTGTGTTTGATCGATTGTCTCCAAGATGGTCCTCAAAGGCTCTCCGCGGATCCCACGAGGGCCCCAAGAGTAATGGGTCAAGAAACGACCGGAAATCCCGACCACGAGGCCGCAGCGTCGAAATCCGACGAAGCTCTTGCAAGCAAGCGGTTGTATGAATCCCACCAGCCCTCTGGGCGCAGGTGGTCTAGAAAGGTCCTCTTCCAACCCCCTTCTTCCCCTTCGGAGAGAGGTTTGCACCCCCCCTCCCTGGACCTGGACGGGGGCGGTCGCGAGCGGTCAGAGCGTCCAAGATGGCCCAAGACGGCTCCAAGAGGGCCTCTAAGAGCCCACGATGAGTGTTGCCAAACGTTGTCGAAACGATTGGCCATGTAGCGTATCCTCAAAGGCAGGGGGCGGCGGTGATTCGCCGCAGGCGTCTTCGATATTACGCTCTACTCTACTCTACTCGACTTTGTTCTACTCTATTATATTATACCCAACTCTACTCTACCATATACCCTGCTCTACTCTGTTCTGTTCTACTTGACCTTACTCTGCTCTACCCTACCCCACCCTACCCTGCCCTACCCTGTCATACCCTACTCTGCACTACACTACTCTACTCGACTCCTAGTCCTTCTCTACGTGCTCGAAAATCTGCTACTCTACCGTGGTATAGAAAGGACTGGACTGGACTAGTGTGGACTGAAGTAGACTGGACAGGAGTAGACTGGGCTGGACCGATGTGGACTCTGTTACCCTCTACTCTATAATACCCGACTCTATTCTACAACCTACCCTACGCTTCTGTACAATACTCTGGTCTGCTCTATCCTCCTCTACCATACCCTACCCTGATATATTATGTCATACTCTACTATGCTATGCCCTACCCCTACTCCTAATGCGCACTACCTCTAATATACTCTACTCTGCTCTCTGCACGTCTCTACTAAACAAGTATACTCTGCTCTTGCGCTTAGCTTCCTACTCTATTCAAATTTACTCTATTGTGCCCTACTCTATTATACCATCTGTCCTACTCTACCTCTGTTCTACTCTACCCTACTATTCTCTACCCTACCCTGCCCTGCCCTATCCTACTCTACACGCCACTGCGCTACACTACACTACTCCTGGTCCTGGTCTACTCTACCCTCCTCTACTCCAATGTAGTATAACTGGCTTTACTTTACCATCTATCCTAATCTACTCTACTCGGCTATCCTCTACCCTACTCTCTCAGTGCCCTACTCTACCCTACTCTCTCTATTCTACTCTACCCTACTCTACCCTATCCTCTACTCAACTCTGCCATACTCTACTCTACCCTACTCTCTCTGCTCTACTCTACTCTACTCCCCCCTACTCTACTCTACTCTACTCGAAGCGGACGTAGCAACTGAAGACCATCGGCTCGTACTCCGTCGCTGTCGTCGTCGTCAGCGGCGGCGTCGGCGGCGTTGTCGACATTGTCGGCGTCGTCGACATTGTCGTCGTCGTCATCAAAATCGTCGACGTCGTCGTCGCCGCCGTCGTCGCTGTCGTCGTCGTCGTCGTCGTCGACGTCGTCAGTCGTCGCCGTCATCGTCGTCGTCGTCGTCGTCGTGGTCGTCGTCGTCGTCGCCGTCGTCGTTGGCATCGGCATCGTCGTCGTCGTCGCTGCCCGACGGCGTCGACGCCGGCGCCGGCGCTCGCCGTCGTCGGTTGCAGGGGCGGGGGGCCTCGGTTCGAAGCCTCCCCCCTGCAACTCAGGGATCACTGCCCCCCCGAAGTTCGAACCCCCTCCCCTTGAGAGGAATGGGGCCCCCCCCGCTTCGAACCCCCACCTGCAATTGAGGGGGGGCTGTCCGCTGGTTCAAACCCCCTCCCGCTTCCAAGCCTCCACAGAAAGCCATTTTTCATATGTATACATCTACATAAATATATGTACGCATACATGCTATATATACACATACATACATGCATGCATGCATGCATGCATGCATGCATGCATACATGCATGCATGCATGCATGCATACTTACATACACGCATACATACATACATCCATACATACATACATACATGCATACACGCACATACACACATACATACATACATACATACATGCATACATACATACATACATACATACATACATACATACATATATACATATATACATACATACGTACGTACATACGTACGTACATACAAACATACATACATGTATACATGCATGCATGCATGCATATATACATACATACACACATACATACATACATGCACGCATACACACATACATACATACATACACACACATGCATACATACATACATACATACATACACACATACATACATACATACATGCATACATACATACATACATACATACATACATATACACACATACATACATACATACATACATACATACATGTATACATACCTGTATACATACATGCATACATACATACATTACATTCCATTCCATTACATTACATTACATTACATTACATTACACTACACTACACTACACTACACTACATTACATACATACACACATACACATATATACACACGCATACATACATACATACATACATACATACATACATACATACATACACACATACATACATACATATACACATACACTCATACATATATACATACATGCATACATACATGCATACACACACAGACACATACATACATACATGCATACGTGCATACATACATGCATACACACATACACACATCCATATGTATGTATATATGCATATACATACATACATACAAACATACATACATTCATCCATACGTGCGTACATACATATACAGAAACTAGAAACAACGACCACGTGCGCGCTTCGCGCTCGCTTAGGTTCTAGCGCAGAAGCCAACCTCACAGGCTCGGATGAGCATGGACATCATCCCGCAAGGATCACCATACGGGAGCGTACTTCCTGATGGAGCCTGATGGACGTCTCAGGGGTCGCTGAATAAGGCTCCAGGAAGTCGCGCAAGGCATCCACCAGGAGGAGGACCCAAGGCAGAGTAAGGGGGGATTCCCGAGAGTCCGTAAGAGCTTGGCATGACCATGCTGGGAATATCTTGGATGCCATTGGGGGGCGTTCTTGGGGGGCTCTGGGGGGTGGGACCTCTGCAGTTTCTGTTGGGGGTCACCCCGTGGCCTCTTGGGACTTTTTGGGGGCGTCTCGGGGGCTCCCCGGTTTGGATCCCCGCTGTTGCCCCTGTCTTGGGGGCGTCTTGAAGGTTTCTTAGGCCGTTTTGGCGGTCTCTTGGGCCGTCTTGGCTCTCTCTTGGGTCGTCTTTGGGCCGTCGCCGTCGCGGGGACCTTTTGGGCTATATTGGCGTAGTTCTGGGGACCTCTTGGGCAGTCTTGGAGCACAGGAACACAGAAAAAAAACATGAGGGAGGCGGAGAGAGGCGTGAAGGAGAGACGATGAAGAGGGAACAGGAGAAACAAATGATAATGATGTGGAATGGGAGACGGATGAGAACCAGGAGCAAGAGAGAGAGAGAAAGAGAGAGAGAACAATGAGAACGGACAGCGTGGGATGGGGAAAACGGAAACGCACTTGGGGCACGCCAAAGCCTGGGACAGGAGGCAAAGGAGGGGGAGCGGTCGAACTTGAAAAGGAAGATTTCATGACATTCCCCTTTTTTTTTCAAATTGGTTCTGGAGAACCCCAAGAACACCCACAATCGTTCCAAAACGCCTCCAAGAGACCCCGAAGAGCTCCGGGGAAGCCCTCGAGAGGCCCAAATCATTGAAACACCATGCGTGAAGGAGAAACGAAGAGGAGGGTAAAGGACGCACCGGGACGAGGGAGGGGAAGAGGAAGGAGAAGGACGTGGAACGGAAGACGCAGGATAACCAAGAGCAAGGGAAATATCAAACAATATCCCGGCGAGTGCCCATACATGTGCAGCGATGATAAACGCACTTGTTGGCATCGTCTTCGGTGGGGCTCCCTACGCGGCCACCAAACGTGCGAGGGGTGTGCCAACGCGGGCGCGGCGGTGTCATGCGAGAGCAACCGCTGGGGCCTTCGGTGGAGCTCCCCATGGGGCCACGAAGCGTGTGAAGGGGTGTGCCGAAATGGGTGCGGCGGTGTCATGCGAGCGCAGC